GAGAGAGAGAGAGAGAGAGAACCAATAATAATGCCTGGTGACCAAAGTTTTCTTTTCTACCGTACACACCTTAGTCCTGTAAATTCAAAAGAGGGAGGACAATAGCACAACAGTGACAACACTCGAATTCATCAAATATATATCCTCATTTATCGATATACTAAAGGCGACAGTCTTATTTTACCCAATATAGAACTATGAATTAAAGATATGACGGACTATATCACCGCTATTACAGACAGCGTTAATTCATGACGTAAAGGCACGACAGCAGTTCTGGGTTAAGAGTACATTCAATGCTTTAAGGGCTCTACCCTCCTTTATAATTATCTGACGAACTCCAGATTGGCACGATAGAGAGTAATGAAGTTAGGGTTTTGTGTTTATATTTTTGTTCTCATTTCGGATTTTCAACCTTCACCTGCCATTGTTCCGTTTTACATACCTCCAATCTTGGAAACGCAGTTGTTGAACTTAAGAACCGCAACGGAATCTCGTCGCTATTACTCCTCTCTACCTTACTAAACGACACGCCCTTCCCTCCCGCTTGATACTGTTCATCATCCGATCCTGGGAATCTTGTTTCACTACTTACTGCGAAGTTTTCCACAGAGTGGCCCGTAAGATTTGCGCCGACGGGGCCGCGAATGATCGGCGTATGAACAATTTGTTCCCCTTCCCTAGCCTGAGGGCCATGGTTTCTGCCTCTAATACATTTCTTCAGTGATGAGATGCTCCTGGACACAATTCCTTTGCTCGTACATGATTTCCAAAGAGGCAGGTAAGCGGGAACGCAAGCACACATGATACCGAGAGGAACTTCAAGATTCTGGAAAAGTTGACCTAACCATAATGCTTTAGGTATATCGTCTGTGGCATAGATCTTGATGGTGGAATCTAACCGCATGATGGCACAAAGAGTGGTACTTATACTAGTATTAGCCAGAGGTCGCCTTCAAAGCTACCTGCGAACTGGTGGAAGGGGGTACTTACAGAATTCCAAGACTAAGAACATTTGCAATCATGGCCTTGTTGGTGCGCTGTATTTCAAGAAGTGAAATCATAGGGATTTGCAGTAAAAGAATGGCCACGTTGAAGAAGACATGTAGAAATCCAATTGACGAGCGCAAAGCTTGAAGATCGATGCAAGCAAATTTTGGGTATTTGGAGGGGCTCCAGAACGCTTGAACCGGATGACATGCTGCGAAAAATGCAATATAGGCTGCGAGGAACCAGAGGCCCAGGATGGCTATGAGTGCGTAGCAGATCTTTCTAAATGGCTTGTTGACTCCGAACAAACGATCATAAGAAAGCAGAATTGAAACCTGCAGGGTGAGTACTGCGAGAAGGTATAAGAAGTACATGGTAACATATATCTGGATAAAAGGCCAGATGTCAGCAATGTTCTGGCACGGAATGTGTTTTCCTGAGGTGCCATACCTTAAAGAAAATATTAACTTGATCTGTGGAAACCGAAATCGATGGCAAAGTCGCACCGCCTGCAACCACCGTTGCTATGTCCAGAGCTTGACAGCCATACGCCAGAATCTAATGAACTATTTGATCAGTGATCGTTGTTCGGACCAATCAAAAGAAACTTAGAGGCAGGCTTACCAGCGCCGCAAGGCATAACCCGTCATCAACAAATGGACGATCTGAAAGCAGTCTCGAGCGCAGCCGCAACGCAACTGTTATAGTAGCTAAAGATATGAAAATAATTGGAATAATTATCAAGATCAACAACTGCTCTCTTGTGTAAGTTGCTCGCGCTTGACGTGCTGATACGGAAGACATGAAGATTTGATAGTAATAAAGGCCAAAGGCACATGAAAATAGGCAGCATACCCTTTACGGCTCCTTTGAAAACTGCAGCGCATCTCACAGTGTAACACATGGCTGCATGTGAGTTGCACATGGCACTGCATAGTTGCCACGTGGAGACCACGACACATCGGTTGCCGTTACACTCGGCTCCCGGTATTGAATTCGATGTCTTCTGTGCCGCGATTATGCATGACCTCTTTTGCTCTCGATGTTTATCCGTGGCTTGCAACTCCCTGTACCGCCTTGGGACAGTGAGATGAAGGTGGTGGCTGTTCCACCCAATCAGGACTCGGTCAGGGGTAAAAGGGAGGATCAATATAGCTTCCTGTAGAGCTTCAATTTCGCTCTTTAGACACTATAATGAATCGTTAGCACCCCAATCATCCAAGCCTGCAACTGACATATCCAATCTTGCTCACCTGTCCCAGTAGCTCGAGTCTGGTACTACTGAGTGGGCATGTATGGGCAGACTCTTTAGCAAGCTTTTGGTACCACGAAGAGTTTTTGAAGCTCCGGATCTGTGCTCTAAGTCTGAATAGCATCAGATTTAATTTTAACTCTGTTCACAGCTAGGCATAGCTAAGTAGACGCTAGCATGATTGGGCCGGCACCGTTGATTGATTTCACGAACGATACTCTCAGCTGTGGAGAAAAGAGATTGCTTGCCTTTATCAGGGGGGTAACAACTTAATTCCAGTACCTATGTTGATTGTTCTCCAAAAAAGTCCATGAAGAATCAATGCAGGCTAAAAGCGCATCGACTGAGTGAACTTTGAACTAAAATAAAAGAACCCGAAAAGTTATAATCGTGAGTACATTTGGTTGCAAAGTTGGCTTGATAGTAATGAGCCAATTTTATTTTAGACCCTGCGGCAACTGTCTCTCTCAAAACGTCCCTAAGCTTCTCCCAGATTCTACTTTCTGGCAATTGCAATATTGGCAACCATCTTAAACTTCACTCCACCCTTACCATCAGTCTTAACGCCCTCAGTCTCCAACATGGCAGTATAGATTGTATCTACTGCTTGCTGAAACTTCCCTTCATCTGCTTGTGTCCAGCCTCCATCTGCCAGTCCGCCAAAGAAACTCCAAGCGATTAAAGACCATCGTTTCAAATCGGAAATCGCCATGATACTATTGCACTGCTCTATGCGGATAGATGTAAATCTGGCCTCCTTGAGAATCCCCTCTAAGTGCGCAGGATCCTGCCATTCTTTTCCCTTCTTGAATTCGTGAAATGCATCAGCTCCTCGAGTTGCAGTGTGCGCCGCTAAGGCTGCAGGTATATGAGCGCCTTTCGCCCAGGTAGTAACTATCGCGGTGCCGCCTGGTTTGAGGGTGCGATAAATACTATCTGCGACTTTTGCAGGGTCCTGGGATGCTTGGATAACGAAATTAGTAAAGCTATGCGAGAAAAAGTTGTCGTCAAATGTTAAGGCTTCCGCAGGCATTTTAGCAGTCGTGACAGAGTCAGCCCAGCCCTGTAAGGCTGCTTGCGCAGCAGTGACTTCACACATCTTCAGGTTCAAGTCGGTAGCAAAAATAGTAATATCGCCAGGTTTTCCGACATTAATGATTGCGAGGGTGACCACGCCATTTCCGCAGCCGTTGTCGAGTACTGTTGAGCCAGATCCAAGTTCTGCTATGGCGACCGTTTTATGGGCAATCTGAACAGAAACATCGCCCATCAACTCTGCCATCGTAGCCGGGCTTCGTGGCGCACACTGCTTGGGGATGAATTGTGCCATGATAACTGGTTGATTTTGGAGAGAGGATAAATCCTTCTTGATTTGAGGGCGAAGTGTTGAAACTTAAGATGGTGACGAATTTAATGCTTGAAGAAGCGAGAATGCTTGACGGAAAGAAATGGCTGAGATACTTGGCCCCACCCTCGGCTCTTATAGCACAATAGCTGCTGGAGTGTTTATTCAATAGATCGAACAAATAAGTGAATTAGATAATCAGATTTAAAAGTATCTCAAGTAATACAACACAGTGCACGGATCCGTGACTTGAATTGTGTTCTGCTGGCTTCTTTTGTCAACACTCCAATAGATTCAGATTGAATGAATTCCGTTCATAAGGTCCGCTCCTTGTATACTATCTTTCGACCTCAATGCCATACATCTCAATTGCATCCGAGGTTGATTTATCCAAACTTCTGGTTCACGCTTCCATTCATCATTCTCGGCCATTATGCCCAACTCAAACCCTTCCACAAGATGAATCAGCAAAATTCTAATCATAACATCTGCCACATATTTGCCCATGCATTGGCGAGGCCCAAACCCAAATCTCCAAAAATTGTACCTAGCTTGAACTGGGGTCCGCTCGAAAAATCGATCAGCGCGAAACCTTGAAGAGTCCTTTCCCCAATACGGGTTTCGTTGATTCAAAGCGTGGGAATCAATCACAAAATTGGTCTTCGGAGGGAAGTAGTAGCCACCAATAAATCGACCGGTTGGAATTGCTTGTGGAACGGAGAATGCGGCGAGAGGACGAAGACGGGATGACTCGGAAATGCAAGATGCAAGGTAAGTTGAGGATTCCAATATGTAGGCATTGAAGCCAGCCTCCGATTCTTGCCGTCTTGTTCCGATCTCAGCACGCAAACGCGCTTGTGCTTCGGGGTAAGCTGCGAGATATACTAAATTCCAAGATATGCCCCCCAGGGTCACGTCAAGATTGGCGTATAACATCTCATCAATTGTCTGCAGGAGCTGTTCTTCGCTGATTTCAGTGCTGTCAACCGCTTGGTACATTTGTACCAATGAAGTATTTGTGCTTCGTCTGATGGCTTGTTCTCGAGCACGGCGATTGAAGGATAACCAGTCTCTCCGGAACTCATGCAATTCTCGATTCGCTGATGTTGGCAAATACTTTGACCAGGTAAAGCGCGGAAGACCTCCACCAATGACATACTTGAACAGCTTTTCTCGTTTTGGAGCCATGACTTTAAGCTCTTGCTCCATCTCCTTAGACAGTTGCCCATATATGATTTCAGCAACAATCCAGAACGGCAAGTATTTCAAATCTTGAGCTGGATCAATAATGCATTCGGAGAGTTTTGAGTGCTTCCGTAGTTCATCAAAGTGAGAAACGGTTTTTCTCTGCATGCATTCGATATAAGAACCGGATACTGGCCTGAAGAAAGGGCGTTCGCACACTGTTCTTACACGCTTCCATTCGTTTCCGCTGATTAAGCCGACGCATTTTCCCAGAAGCTGTCCCATGTAATAGCCAGAATTATTGTTCACTGCTTTGATGTGTTTGTCTGAATCCTTGAAGGCTTCTTGGATGTGCGCAGCCTGGGTCAATACTCTGGAAGTGGCTTGTCAGTCGAACTGTACTTGTCGGAAGATTGATCATAGAATTGCTGAGGTACTTACACTTCAGGAGTTCTACCCGACCAGATACGATAAATCTGTCCATGTTTCTTTTCCCACTTTAAGCTATTTTCCTTGCCATAGAGAAACTTGGCCGAATCTCCTTGGCCGTTCGGAAATCTATATGGCACCGTTGGAAGGGATCTCCCAGCCTCAGTACTCTTTATTGGGTGTTTCCAGCATAACCAAACCTGTTTAATTTAGTAGGCTCCCTTTCAGCAGGTCAAAAACTACGTACATTCAGGATATGTGAAATCAAATCTGAAGGTCTGAACAGCACCTTAGATCCAAGACCCAGTAACAGAACGCCGGCAATAGTTGTCCACTTCCAGGAGAAACAATACTCATCAAACAAATGAGATGACATTTTGCTTAGTCGTGCTTGAATTTAGAATTCAGAGGAGGCTTCCCAATGCACGAGCTACTGGAACAGTTGCTTCAAACATTGAACCACGTCAAGACATGAGCCGGCCACCGGCCAATGGCAATTATAATTCGGCGTCCAGAGGACACTGCCCCCCGGCAGATAAGAGCTAGGCTTCTAGTAACACAGATTGTCTTACCTTACGAGACGCCACGGGCCGCTTTGATATATGTTTCACTCGTTCAATATTGATTTTTAGCAGTGAGTAGATTGCTATTTACAAGAATTGTGACATCAAAAATCTACCCTGGAGCTGAAATTTAGCATCATGGGCCATAGCCAAAGTGCTAACTCGACTCAAAAAGTTGAAGACTGCCTGATTCAGAACGAGTTGTCAAGCGGGTATTGGCACATATCTTTCCACCAATGCGCCTGTCACAGTGAAAGGTAAGAGAGCTTGCTCTCCCATTTTCATGCGTAAGAAAGTATCTCCTACCAGTGGCATGCTGGCCCACATGGACATTGTCACCCAGATATATCCAATCAACCACTTCCACGGCTTCTGGTTCATGGCTCCCGGCTTGCCCCCGGACTTGCGGAAACACCACTGTACAAAGTCTTCTACGGTGATTGCAACCATCTGCCAAACGAAAAATAAGAAAAATCCATGGGTGCGCTCGGCGAATGTGATATTGGATGGACACGGCATAGTCATCTGTGACAGTGCATGGAAGGCACCAGAGATCGTGAAAGCCAGATACAGTGTTGTATAGGATGACGAATTGGTTCCACGGGGTATTCCAAAAGCATTGATAAAAGCGTTGGTGTAGGATGTTAACATCTAATATTAAAAAATCAGCCAAGAAGCCTGGCTGTTACAAGATAGAGTACGAACATGACGAAGTTGTTGGTGCCAGTACCTGCCCCAAAAGTCGCGAATAGTCGTTGTATCTCTAAGACGTCCAAATGGTGGTGGCCAGTCCTTGAAAACAATCAGTATTTTACGAAACGCAAGGGGGGAAAACGGGTACCTCAGGTTTACTCAAACCAATTGCTACCGCAATGAAGGCGAATTGTGCATATTGCATACTCAGCATAAAGTACGGAGTAGAGGCAAATACTAAGCATTTCAAAAAGCTCCAGAAAGGATCGGAATGATGTAGTGTAAGATATTTGCTGTTTAGCTGTCCTATTTGACCATCCGGAGAGGTGTAAAACAATCGTATGCTCATCTGTCCCAGCAGTTCGGCTATAAGAATGCACTTGAAAAACTGAAAGACCTGCTCTACTAGAAATGCAGATTTGCCTCTTGTGTTGACTCGAGGCACATTTTTGACTTCCTGGTTCCATCCAATACCGCGCTGATTGGCGATAAGTGTAAACGCCCATTTCAGCTTTGCCCACCCGAAAGACGAGAAACCTAGAGCCTCTTTAGGTCTTCCAACTCGCCAGAAATGAGCTTCTGGTCCCTCGTCACCCGAAAATGCCAACTTTGCTAGTGTGGCCATGTAATAAGACCAGCTGATGGTGAAAGGCTGAGCTAAGCCAATATTGTTAGTGAAATGCGGGCCAAGATGTACTCTAATGGCAAGGGCAACGATGAGTGCGCTGAAAATTGACTTTCGTCCGCGAAATGGGGGTGATGCAAGGGCGAAGATTTGCACTATGAATAGTGCGAAGTGAGGCAGAATGGAGCTACTGGGTTCGTTCAGTACCCAGTTTGAGACATCTTTCTCGGCCATCTTTGATCAGGACGAAAGTTTGTTGAATTGCAGATTTTCACAAAGCTTCGATGATAAAGCGATCGAATCCTAGCAATGAAATTTGTCCCAAAATCTTTTGTTATAGACTGAGGCTTGCCCGGCGGCCGAGCCGCTGGGCGTTCTCTGAGTATCGAGTATGTAAGCAATTTAGAAAAAAGACCTGACGGCAGCTTCTTAAAACTGAAAATCCGATTTGCAGTTTGATTTTGAGGCTGCTTTTCTGGATTCACCAATCGATAAACTCCACAGGCCATGGAGGCACCAATGCAGGCTTTGACAGCCTCACTCGTGGTCGTGGTCTTCACAATTATTATTTTTCATCTGCAAACCTCCGTGTATCAACAGTTTCCGCGAGTGGGACGATCGATCTTTCCATTTACAGCGGTCCATGAGCGTGTCCAGAAAGGTTACGACCAGGTATTTGCGCCCTGAAGTCCTCAAAGCAGAAGAAAAAAGCTCATAGAGAATTTGAATAGATCACAAAGTCTTCGCAGAAGCCATTTGTTGTGAGATGGTGGGCCAAGGACTATCTTCTCCTTCCGCCAAAGTATCTCTTAGAACTGAGAAGCGCCGGATGGAGGCACTTAAGCTTCTTCCAGAATATTAGTGATGTACTTCTAAGCATCGATTAAACCAAGAAAATATCTTGACGAGATTTCTACCAGGCACTCTATCTGCACACAACTGTAGGAGATCTGTATACTTCTGACAGAATGGTGGAGGTGGTGAAGAAGAAGCTTAATCCTCTTTTACGTACGCATGAGCAATGAAGTATGGAAAACCCATTGTGAACCGGATCACTGAAATTGCTAGGTATCCAGCTCAACTGACGCCAGTTATGATTGAAGAGATAGCATACGCATTTGACCGGGAATTGCGCCCTGGTGAAGGTACGAAACCTCTTCAGTTCCTCCATTCAAAGAGCTGACGAGATTTCCAGAATGGCAAACGGTTATTGCAATGAAATTCTTCAGCAGTATTGCACACCGAGCGGCCACTCGAATCATGATAGGCCACGAATTATGCAGAGATGAGTCTTTCATCGAAGCATCCATGAGCTTCCTAGAATCCATCTTCATAACAGCATTAGTGATTGTGAAACTCCCTCTAGGCCCATTCCGAGGATTACTCGCATGGCCTATCACGCTATCACACCGTCTGAAATTGCGAAGATGCACAGCCGCCTTACTTCCAATTATCAAGGCCAGAATAGACGCTAAGAGTACCCGCACTGAGGGCATAGCACCGCCGCTTGATGCAATAGAATGGACTCTTGAAGTGTCGAAACCAGATGGGCCACACAATAGCGCCGAAAAGATTACCGAAGAGCTGGTGCACGCTTTATGGGCAGCGAGCTCGGCGCCAGGAGGTCTCATGACCGAATTAGTCTATCAGCTTCTCCTCGAACCTTCCTATCTCGCTCCTCTTCGCTCAGAAGTGGAAAGCGCGTTTGAAGCGCATGGCTGGACTCCCAGAATGCTCAACTCGTTGTATCTTCAAGATAGCTTCATTCGTGAGGTCAACCGGCTCTTCCCTACTGGATCTGGTAAGATATGCTCTTTGTCTCAAAGCATTCAAAGCTAACACTCTCAGTGACATGTTCTCGGACCGTAATGGACAAGCCTTTCCAGTTCTCTGACGGGCTTACGCTGCCAGTCGGGACTCGATTTGGGTTTCCCATCAAGGCTCTTCAGCATGACCCAGACACTTTCGCTCATCCGGATACCTTCGATGGTTTCCGCTTTGCTAAGCAGAGCTCTGGCGAAAGTAACATTGGAGAGGACAGCCGGAGATGGAGTGCGTCCTCGATGGACACCACTAATTTAGCGTAAGCTTTCTATTTGCCCAAGCTTTCACATTCTGACAATTGTACATATGCAGCTTCGGATACGGTACCCATGTTTGTCCCGGCCGCTTCTACGCCGTCCGCGAAGTCAAGATGATATTCTCGAAACTTCTTATGGAATTTGACATCGAGTGGGATAGGCCACCTGGAACTGCGAGGCCTAAGGCTGTGCATATTGAGGGGCAATTTGTGCCCAATATGAGCCAGAAGATTTGCTTACGATGCCGTAAAGCGGGCAAGCCATGAACATAAGATCATAATTCACAGTCACGTGTGGGGAAAAGGGGAAGCGAAAGGGGGGTTAATCACGTGTGTTGGAATCTGCAAAAGGTTATTTGACTATTTCTCGTGGTCGTGGTGATTGTGAAAATAGTATGCATCAAAAATGGAATCATCATGTTGTTAATGCATAGCTTTACATGCTCATTGTAGACAATATTGTACCTGAAATTCTCGGGCACCGAGTCACAGACCGGTGCCCGAAGCTCGGCAGCCGAGATTTGTAGGGTTACATTCAGCTATCCACACCCAACGTCCCCGTATCACTGCATACCCTTCAACTCAACATACAGCGGTGGCCTGTCCCAAACGATATCGAAACGCTGATTCGTTGCCCAATTGCGGCTCTCATCGCGTAGCTCCATATCGAAGGACCATAAGATATGCGCCAAGACGGAACGGATCTCAAGGTAGGCGAGACTCTAGGATGTTAGCCTAACGTACGTACTTAGCAGGGTGAGTACTCACTTCCTCCCAAGGCAATTGCGCGGGCCAATGGACCACGGCTGCGAGGCAGCTTTTATATCGTTCTTGTATCGCTCCGGCGCATCAGGGAGCCAGCGCTCAGGGACGAACTTGTCGGGATCGCAGAAATTGGTATCAAAATGCGTTGCAGCCCACTGATGGATACCAACCGAAACCTACCCAGATCATTAGCTCTAGTTTCGATGGTATAGATTGCACACTTACATCAGGAGGAACAAAGTGGCCGTCAATAATGTCGCCCTCGGGGCCGGTCCTTCGCGCAAAGTTCCCTGCTGTGGGAGGATGGATTCGAAACGCCTCTTCGATAACTGCATTGAGATACGTGATTTGTCCCAGGGTCGTGGAGGTGATGGCCTCTCGATTCGTGAAGGAGCGACGGACTTCATCCTGGGCTTGTTTCATGACTCTCGGGTCACGAAGCAAGTAGAAAGTAATTGCTGCTAAAGCTGCTGCTGTTGTGTCGCCACCTGCGTTGACAAGGACAGATGTAGAGCCGATGATTTCAAACTCCGACATTCCTCGTTTGTCGTTGTGGCGTAGAATCTGCGTTTCGTAAGAATTTGTGGGTTGTTTGGTATGTTGATGCTTACATATGTCATGAAATCTCTGCGAGTATCAGACTTGAGCGCGATGCGTCGCAGTACTTTGTCTTTCGTCGACTGGTAGCCCATTTCTTGTACTCTTTTGAAACTTGGGATGCTCATCATAGCCTTCAGCAGGAGCCCAATTGATCTATATTCCCGTGCCATCACAAAAAACGGCTGGTATCTGCAGGCAGAGAAGAAGCCTTCGATGAATTCATGTCGCGTTCCCCCTTGTATTGCATCTAGAGATTCGCCGAATGAGAGGTCTGAAACGACGTCGAAGGCAATAAGATTGTACCACTCATTTATGTCAACGCGTTCTCCCTGGCCAACTCGTCTAGATAGTTGTTTGATTAATCGAGTGATGTGCTCCTTCAGGAGCGGTTCCTGTTCTCGAAGGGCGGTCTCAGAGAATGCATGTGCCATAGTTTTTCGGATTCTAGCATGATCAACATCGTTCGAGACTATGCTAATCAGCTGGAGTCTGGTATCTCATGTTGGGTAACGTACACAGTATTGGCAACTTATCTTCATCGTAAAGAACCCGCTTATAGTCTTTGGCTAGTTGACGCTTGTTCTGACAGAAGCCATAGATATCTAGGGCAGTTTAGTCAGTAAAGCTCGAAAAAGTACAATAGCACGAAAGAACTCGCATTAGTAGCGTTGGCATACCCTTCCATGCTTGTGCAGTGGCAAACGACAATATATTTGGCGCCACACGTACAACAGGACCATATGTTTCATGTATCTCTGCAGTCTTACTGATGGTCGATCCTTGGAAAAGCCATAGCATCCGAGGAAATTCAAAACCAGCTAGATAGAATGGTCCAGGAAATTTTGCGAGAGGATGGAACCAAATATTATACACAGCGTTGATCGCAAGAAACAATAGGTACTATTCCTGTCAGTTACAAAATGTTGGAATGTAGACTAGACTTACAGAAATGCATACTGAGATTGTGATGGCTACCACGCCGACATGAGCAATGGATAAACTCATAGCCGTGGAAGTCTAATAGGGAAAGAAGAAATGAAGCGGGTACAAAAGTTCAATAAAATGAAAGAACATTCGATTGGTAGTCCTCGCATCCGAGATTATGTCGACCCCGTCGCGACCGGTTAGATATATAATCTGGACCAATGTTTGGCTCGTGCCGGCTACCGCCCGTTCCATAACCTTCCGGGTACCATAATGTGGGGTTTTGCAGTTCACAGGGCTGGTCTTACATGGGCTTGGAGAGAAAAGCGTAGCTTTCGTGAATATGATTTCAAAAAAGCTCGAACGGCCCAGCTAAAATGCAGGCTCGTCCTCGATTTGCAAGAAATGTGGGGGTAGTCTTCATAGCGAGCTAGGTTATTTCCTGATCCAGCCACTATCGTATATAGCTTCATGAACAGAAAAGTAAAATAAAAACCACATTGACACCATGATTACCCATTGCCAGCCACAAATACAAAAACAATTCCCCTCCAACTCTCCATCCCCACGCCTCAAAATCCCCCAAGCCCAGCAATCCTCATCCAAATGCCCCTCCTCTCCCTCCCCTCAAAACCCCGCAATCCATTCCCAGTAACACTCCTCGGCAACTCCCTCGCCACCCCCGCCGCAGCATTAGCACCCATCAGCAGCGCATTCGGAATAATCTTAAAGGGGCTCGCACAATCCCCCGCAGCAAACACCCCTTCCACATTCGTCTGATAAAAAAAGCCATTCGTCTTGATATTACCCATAACATCTAGCTCGAGCCCAAGCTGCTGCACTATCCACGGCGGTGGTCTTGCGAGCGGTTGGTGAACGAGGAAGTCTCGCGTGTGTGTGGTTTCGTCGCCGAGTGAGAGCGAGATGGTTGAAGCTCCGCCGGAGCTAAGGCGTTTGATTGAATGGTCGTTGATGTCTACGGAGTCTGAAAGGCTGTTTGAAGCAAGTGCGGAAAGCAGGTCTGCAGCGAGGGTGGGGTTGGAGTCTGTGTAGATGGAGAGATTTTTGGCGAATTTGAGGGTGTCTTGGGCGACCATGAGTGCGTGTTTGACGGTGGAGAGGCTGCCTTTGGCTAGAAGTCCGGCATGTTCACTGCCTCTTTTTTCGAAGCCGAATGTGAACATGCAGTGGAAGCTGGTATGGTTAGCTTTTATTTCTACAAAAATCTCCAGAGGGGGATTTCTTACATCTTCTTAGGGAAATTCTCCGCATATCCAGGAATCTCCGGGAAGACGAACTCCGCGCCCATAGCTAGTAAAAGCTTCCGACCATACCACATCCCACCCTCCGAGTCCGTGACCAGGAATAGGGTATTGTTTGTTTTTTCCACACTGATGATGGTTTTATCTAGTGTCTTTGCGAAACCGGTTGCAGCTATTTCCTTCCGACTCTTCTCCCGTAGTGCGTCTGGATTTTTGCCTTCCCAGCCAGATAGGACCCTCATTGGCGTAAGCCATGAATTCCGAGGCTTTTGATGGTCAAAAATGAGCGTGGAGAGCTGGTGGCGATACAGTGTCGCTGCAGCGGAAAGACCGGCATGGCTGCCTCCTAGAATGATAACATCAACAGGCGATTCCAATTGTGCCCCAAAGTCATGAGAAACAATCTCTGGTGCGTGATACTGGTTCCAATATAGGGTGGATAACACTACCAGGCCTGCGAGAGCGTACGTGTAAAATCCATTATAGGATGAGGGTGCCATAGAGAAAAGAACCTGGAGGGACTCGGATAATTGAATTAGAAGATGACGCCAGTACTGTACGAAAAATAGACGTAGTAAAATCGATGCTTTAGTTGCGCCAGACGCATGTCGATTCGATCATAGTGTATCGGCAGCCGAGCAAGCCCATTGCATAGGGCTGGCTCCGAGAGGCCACCACCCCCTCCAATCAGCTTGGGCTTGGACCTGCATAGACGTGGGATGGCTGCATATTGGTAAGCAACCCTTGAAATGTATCGCCGGCGATAGTTCCCGATATGACCGCGAACAGCATCAATACCTACACGAAAGAGCGTATTCTTAAATCTGTACTCACCAATAGAAGTAGTCTGCTTGAATAATTCATCGTTGTCTGCTCAATGCCTATCCGCTGCAGTAGCTAACTCGAGAACTAAGACTACTTGGTGGCAATGGCGATATTGGCCACGAACTTCAATTGTGCTCTGCCACCATCGATCGCCTTGTAACCATCCGTCTTCGCGAGCTCTTCCTTGACCACGTTGATTGCCTTGTCCCAGTTCGCCTCATCAGACTCAAGCCATCCAACCTCAGAAGTACCACCGATAAAACTCCAAAGCATCGTTGCGAAATGGGTAAGCTCAGTCGTCGTGCAGTAGACCTCGGCCTTCTTCATAACGATCTTGTCCTTCTCAAATCCACCCTTCTCCACCACATTCTGTACAAAATCTGCCGGTGCCCACTTTGCCATTCCCTCTCTCGGTAGTGGAGTTCCTGGAGGTCTGGTTGCTTTGGCTGCTGTCTGCAGGGGCTCCATGTTCGGAACATAGGCCCAAGAATTGACAAGCACTACACGAGGAACAGATTAGCATGTTTCTTGAAGACGCTTTTCAAAGATAGCAGACAAAAATGAAGAATGCACAATTTCTTGGGATACTTAAGAAATACACCATAAGGCCACATGTTGCCTATAAAGAACAGGAAGAACCAGACAAAATCAATCTACTTACTTTTTCCACCCGGCTTTAGGGTTCTGTACATCTCCTTCACAGCATCAATGCCGTCATTCGGTAGCACAAACAGAAAAGCGTTGCCAATGGTGAGGGTAAAGGTGTTGTCGGCAATTGAGAGCTTGAGTGAATCCATCTGCTCAGCCTCAGCAGGCCACTTGTTCTCAGCAGCATGCTTTCGATAGACCTCAAGGGCTTTCTCGTTGATGTCAGTGCCTTTGATTGAGACCTCTGCCTTCGAAGCTGCGATCGCCTCCACAACAGCAGCGGTGCCGGCGCCAGTACCGCAACCATTGTCGTGAATTACTGATCCAAATGGGATTGGTGATATTTGCGCGAGACTTGCTTTCGCAAGCTGCTCCATGCTGTCTCCAACAAGCTCATCGTAAAGCTGCGGGGTAGGGGCGAGAGCCTGCTTGGGGACGAACTTGCTGGTTCCTTCTGGGGCGTTCATCTTGGATGTTTTTGAGGATTGATGACTCTTCGTTGTCGTTTCTGAGGAGATCAAAATGTTGATGTTGATGGATGAGAAAAGGTTGAGGTGCGTAGGCAACAGCAGCAGCCTTGAAAGGAAATGCAACAAACCGTTGGATCACATGCCGGCAACCGCGCGACGGTGAATCAGGGCCGGCGGACTGAGGCCACGATTCGGTCAGCGAATGTAGAAGCATCTGGAAATTGAATCAATTCGCAGCAAATGTGAATATCAAGTTAAATACGAGGATTTCAATAGGTTACTATGCCGGCAATTGCTATTGCTGGCCTGTGGCGCTACGAGTAACCTAACCCCCCTGTGTTCGGCCAATGAACTGGGCCCGCCCGATCCGGTCCCCTATTCTTACAAACGGCCCGGACGTCAGCCTCCACCGCCCGAAGATCGCGAAATGATTGCTAGGTGGGCTTTCATAAGGAATCATATCTAACGGTTTTGAAAATTCCAAGTCCAGTCGCCCTATAATAGAATTTCAGCTTCGATTAGAGCTTGTAACGCATTAATTAACGCATCTCCTTTCCCGATTCGTCTAAACCCCACCTAGCACCATGGCATCTAGCAGAATAACCGAACTGGCAGCCGCAATCCAAGCCAACACAAGCAAAGTCGAAGAGTATTTCGCGGCTCAGGGCTTAGAATCACCTTCTTTCGACGCTGAATTTCCCTCTGGTCTTCCACCGGAAGTTGAAAGATCACGCTATGGTGTTCTCGAGGCCGCGGACGAGATCATGGACTTAATGGTTGGACCTCGAGGGATTATTGAAGGGTTCCCTGGACCTCAGGTCAGTTTTAGCAGCGTCTCTTGTTGAGGTGTACTTAAACAACCAACAAGCAAACCTCACATATCGGGATCCAAGCGATCAATCGCTATTCCATTGCAAACAAAGTAGGGTTAGATGAAGAAGTAAGCTTCACAGACCTTGCAGAAAGATGCGATCTTCAAAAGAATGACTTGACTCGAATCTTGAGACAAGCAATGTCTAAGCATGTTTTCAAGGAGCCAAAGAGGGGCTATGTAGCTCATACCGCTGCTTCGAAACTCCTGATGGATTCTAAAGATCTGAATGACATGCTCTATATCGCGCATGATATCATTTGGCCAGCTTCGGCACATTTATTGGAAAGCATAGATAAATGGAAGGGATCAGAAGAGCACAATCATACAGTAAGCGTCACACTATCTCGTGTTGAATTTGTTTAAATTTTCAGTAGGGATATAATATTGCGAGCGGCACAACAGAGTCGTTCTTCGAAAACACTAAGAAGGATTCTCGTCTCGAAGAGGCATTCGCAAACAACATGAAGTACTGGCAGTCACGACCAGGCTTCGGCAATGACCATTCGCATCTACTATCTAGTTTCGACTGGGCCTCCGTTGAATCAGTCGTCGACATCGGAGGTGGAACTGGTGCTACAAGCGTTGCCCTCACCGAGAGATTTCCCTCATTACATTGCACGGTCCAAGACATGCCCGAGGTTGTGAACCAGGGGAAATCTCAAATCTCGTCAGAGGCGGCTAGTCGCATCACTTTCATGACGCATGATTTCTTCCAGGAACAACCGGTCAAGAATGCGGATGTCTATTTTATGCGATGGGTCTTGCATGACTGGTCGGATACAAAGGCTATAGCAATCATTCGGTATCTGATTCCGGCTCTGAAAGGAGGGGCGAATATCGTGCTTCAGGAGTTTTTATTACCGGAGCCTGGTATGCTGCCGTTCTATCATGAGAAAACAACGCGGTAAGTGCTTTATTCGTTGACATCAAAAGGAGCCTCCTGACAAGTTATAATAGGAACATGGACTTGTCGATGAAGGCTTTCTTGAATGCGAAGGAGAGGGGAGTTGATGATTGGAAGAAGATTTTCAGCGATGCGGACCCTGGGTTTAAGTTTGTTGGAGTCAAGATGCCGATGGGTTCAAATCTAGGCGTAATTCAAGTACGATGGGAGCCATCTGTGTGAAGTATTCCAAGGTTCTTTGAAGCAAACTTATAATAATATTCCTCCATGTAACTACCTAGAATTTTAAGATAATAAACCCATCTACGCCTAAAAACCCTGTGATTTATGCATTTGGCCCGCTAATCCTCGTTGCACTGTGTCAACAATTCGCCGCAGTCAGCACTAAGCCTTCCGGGGCACGATAGGGGCTTTAGCGAGGGTTTACAGGCTTTGGCTCGCTGCGAATATAGGGCCTCTAGCCCGAAATCTCGCTATTGTCGTTAACTGTTGACCGCATCCTTCGCACTATGTAAGAATGTATTTCTGAAAAACAGGCCATACAGAGAATACGAAAATATGAACGAGTTGCTAAGAAGCAATAAACTGACGGCCGCCTGAACCGGAACGTGATGCGCCTCTTTACAGATGGAATGGCATCGAGAGATTCTATCGGGCAGGGGCAGAACTCGGGACCCGAACCCTCAAAATAATATAAACATAGGTACTCAACGACTGCTTCCCCAAAGCTTCATCATCATATACATCACTCAGACGCTCCGTGAATATGGGCCTCTTCAATGAGATCTCCGCTCTAAACATCGTGGTCTCCCTGGCCATCCTGGTAAGCCAAGCAAACCTGATCCAGACTTGTGACATCGCTGACATTTTAGTTCATCACGACAATCGTCACCAAAGCACTTTACAACATCACGTTCCACCCGCTTGCAAAACACCCAGGACCCTTGGCTCGAGCAGCCTTTGCGTTTCCTGGGCTGTGGAATACGTGCAAGGGTGAATATGTAAGTGATGTCTGGGGTATACACAAGAAGTATGGTCCGGTGGTGAGAATTGCTCCGGATGCTATATCGTTCTCGACTTCGGGAGCATGGCAAGGTATACTTGAACCCTTTTTTCTCATTTGGATAAAACTTTGGGAGAAGTTACTAAGCATTCGCATTGGGCAGATATCTATGGCCTTCGAGATGGGCGGAAACAAGTGGCCAAAGACTACAAACGATTCCCGGATCAAGAAGCCCCTATCCATTTATTCGGTAAGAGTCTTCAATTTCGTGTTATCACCAATAACTAATGTTGCAGCCTCAAATGACGAGGACCACGCCCGCATCCGCCGAATCCTCAGCCACGGCTTCTCTTCTTCAGCACTCAGAGACCAGGAAGGATTAATAAACACCCACATCCAAACCCTAATGAAAATGCTCGCCGGCGAAACCAACACCAAGGTCGATCTCAACAAATGGTTCGACATACTTACATTCGACATAATGTCTCACATGACATTCGGGGAGTCATTCTCGAAGCTTCCCACCGGCGAGTTGGATCCGTTCACCGTTGATCTGTTCGGGAAATTCAAGATGTATAATATGATTTATGTGTCTCGGGAATATGATTGGTTTAATTGGCTGCTGAAGATGATGATGAAGATGCCGTCGATTGCTCAGGAGCAAGAAAGATATTTTGAGGGGACGAGGAAGAAGGTGGAGAAGAGGATGAGACCGGAGTTTCCGGATCAGCATGATTTTATGAGATATGTGTGTCACTTCCTCACATTTATTAATCGTGGCTAATACAAAATTTAGATCCTCCGCAACAACGACGAGAGCCAAGAAAACGGCATGGACCACAAAGAAATTGTCGGGACGACAACAGTCTTGGTCAACGGAGGAGGGCAAGAGATGGCAGTTTGTCTCTCAACGACCGTGTACTACATCTTGAAGCATCAGGCCTGGCTCAAGAAAGTACAGGAGGAGGTGCGTAGTAACAAGTCAGAGGGTACCACCTGTATTGCAGCAGCCATCAACGAATCCATGCGTCTGCACCCTCCAGCGGCAGGGAATTTCCAGCGGCGCACTGGAAAATCTGGCATTGTAGTCGACGGGTATTTTATCCCCCCAAATGTAAGCAACTGATAGTCATTCCGTCCGTCTTCAGAGCTCATATTATACAGACATCCGTGGGAGTCAACCAATACGCCGCCTTCCATTCCCCCGATAATTTCGCGGACCCAGAGAAGTTTGCACCAGAGCGTTGGCTGTCTGATGCTCCCGATAAGTTTCGTAACGACAACAAGGCGGCATACCAGCCTTTTTCATTGGGTCCAAGGAACTGTATTGGCAAGAAGTAAGTATCCATGCACAGCTGATTTGTGAAACGTGTGGCTGACGTGGATTAGTCTTGCTCTGATGATAGTTACGCAGACGCTAGAGCAGCTTCTTCAGAGGTTCGATGTGGAACTCTGTGAGGAGAGCAAGGACTGGACTATTGGCCAGACTTTTCATGTTGGATGGTTTAGACCGCCTTTGAATGTGGTGCTGAAACGTCGGGTGTAGTGCTGGTGAATCCAAAGCTGCCTCAACTACTTTTTACCATACGGAGAACGCGGCCATTGCTTTTTCTGGTTAGGGTATCAACCCACTGAAGCTCAACGAAGTGCCTTGTAAGGCCCCGTGATTGCAGCGCTTCTGGCCTAAATTATAGCAGTATCTCACTGCGCCACAGGGCTCACTTCACTAAAACATGGACAGCCATCAAAATCAACACCTCTCCCACCGTCTCCGGGCTCCTCAAACAGGGATCGAGCATGTATTTGTGCACCGCTTCTCGAAAACGGGGCATACAGCGTCTGGAGTCGTTGTGATTTAGCGGACCATCACTAGAATTACAGGCTTTTTAACCCTGAAACCGGCCCCACTTCCAGCGTTTTCTGGTGTACGTTCCTGAGGTAAGAGATAGGGGATTTAGCGAGCTTCAACCTAGCCGGAAAGGACTTCTGGTCGCATTCTCCGTAACTCGTAACGTGAACACGCTGAAGTGAAAAGGTTTTATTCGTCGGTGAAAAAGACCCTGTAAATATAAGAACTCTTGGGCATTTAATATCCCCTCCAGGTACTGTAGCCCCTGAATCGGCAGTGACGAGCGTGAAGCGACCGAAAAACGCCTGGAATCCATGAAGAAATAGACTTCAAAGTAAAAGATCCCATTGTCAATGATTTCTTCAACCCAATACAAGCACCAATTTCATCATGTACTCTCACATATTCTAGCCCATAATAGATTTTATCCCATGCTTCTCCTCCTGAATTCTAATCGCCACCCCCGACCCCGCCACACTCCCCGAAGCAACCGCATTCGGCGCAACCTTAAACACCGTCGCGCAATCCCCCGCCGCATAAACCCCCTCCACGCTCGTCTCCCCAACCTTCGAGCCAGAAATATCATACTCCCCGGAGCTTGTCAGCCCAATCCCCAACTGCTCCGCAAACGTTCCTCTAAGCACACTTCGCGGCGCATGCGCCAGGAACGGCTCGACGACCGAACTTCCATCTTCGAAGGAAATCCTGATACGGCGCGGAGTCAGCGATTCCATTTCCAGCGCCGAGATGCGGCGGTCGTCTGTTTTCCAAGGGGAATCGGGACTGCATAGGCCTGTGAGCTGGAGCCCGAGATCGGGGTTGCCATGTGTGTAGATGATTACGGTGTGTGAGAGTTGCGCGGCCATGTGCGCCATGTGGAGAGTGAAGGGCGGCATGGCGATCCAGTCAACTGCTAAGACGCCTGAGGAGGGCGAGTCTCGGACATCGTAGCCGTGGCAGAAGAGGCAGTGAAGACTTGTTTCGAATTTAGCGGGAACTGGAGGAGAATAAAAACTCTTTCTTTGGAGTTAAGGGGACTTACATGCCCTTTGCCCAGCACTCCCCGTAGCCCGGTATATCAGGGTATTCCTCCCGCACGCCATGTGCGAGAATAATCTTGCGCCCTTTATGGAGTTTTCCACTGCCATCAGAACCTTCGAAAATGCCTTGGGCGTTCCGTGATATCGACACGATCTCGGTATCGTGGAAGGTGACGGTGTTGTAGGCAGCTATCTCCTGCCTGGCTGTGGACCGGTACTCCTGGGGGGTTCGTCCATCCCACCCTGAAAGCACATTTATCTGTGGCGAGCTTTGTCCGGAGTCTGTACGATATTGCTTGGTGTCGAAAACGCTGGCTGTGTGGCATTGATAAGCTAGTGTCAGCGCTGCTGAAAGCCCGGCAGGCCCAGCACCGATGATTAAAACGTCTTGGATAGTGTCACTCATTGTTTTTGGAGGGATGTCAGATGAATGACGTTTGCAGTAATGAGAGAAGATAGTTGTATTAAGACTGTGTTTTGCTGCGGTTGCCGATATCCTCACGACAGCTTCGCGGTGGCCGATTCTACGTACCAAGGCATCCTCGGACACTTACTCTGAATTAACAATAGAAGTTAACATTTAGGAAGGGGTAATGTCTCTTAAGCTAAGCTTCGCCGACTCAAGTACGATAGGATATAGGCGGGTCTAAAATTGTTCTTTCTTAGACTAAAACTATATTAAAGCTACATTTGAATCAACGTACACGCTTCCTCAACTGAATCTTCTGCGTCATATTTGGAAAAATAGACCCTTCCATATGCATACTCGGCGGCGTGCCCGGCCCCTCAAAATCCCAGGCAAAATGATAATCAGTAATCAGTTTCGTGAAAATAATCTTCATCAGCCGAACCGCAAAAAAGCGTCCTGGGCAGACATGTGCGCCGTACCCAAATCTAACCACCGTCAGCTCCTATCTACATGAATCTAAAACCTTGTTTATGAAAGGATACTTACGTCTGGTTAGTCGCATGAGCATGAGAAGCAGCCCATTTATTTACACCTTCCTCCGTACGCGTATCCTGTTCCGCGAGCTTCAGATATCTGTACCCGTCGAACTCTTCCGGTTCGGAAAATGTAGCTGGGTCTTTGAGGTAGGAATCGATTGGGAATGCAAGGCGTGTTCCAACGGGGAGTGTAAGGCCGTCTCGACAGACGAACGGGGCGCCAGAGACAACTCGTTGGGTACTCACTGTCATATGTTTAGCAAAAACAAACAACTTAAATCAAAAGAGTCTCAGCTTACATTTATGATTCGGATGCAACCTATTAGTTTCCCTAATAAAACTATCTTGCAAAGGAAGGACATCAACTATTTTCTCCGTAAACCCAAATCGTTCTATAGCCTCATCCGCTTCCTTGCGTAGCGGCTCTAAGTACTCCGGGTACGCGAGTATTTTCCACACCATCTGGGACACCGTCATTCCAGTCGGTGTATGCGAAGCGCCCAGAAGATGAATCAACTCATGGGACATTCGCCAGAGGGGCGGAGAACCACCCTCTTCAATCGGGAATTCATCCAGCATCTTGAGCGTCCATTCGATGCAATCGAATTTCGGCCTGCGGGTTTTGTTGGCGCGGATATCGTCCATGCGTTTTTCAATAGCAGCAGAGACGATGTTCAGGACTTTTCGCTGGCGGACGCGTTGGAAATAGGAGATTGGACGGGCGAGGATGTCTCTGAAGGGGCCGAGAGGGAGGTAGAGGAGGATGCCGCCGGTTATGCCGTGGCCTTGGAAATAGCTGTATGAGGCTTTGCTGAAGGCTGGGTCGCGGCAGAGTTCGTCTCCGACTAGGATCTTGGAGGCGATGCGGTGGGCTATGTTTAGGAGGGATTCTAGGGTGTTGAAGGTTTTGAATGCTTTTCTTTTTTAGCAAAGGCGTCCATGTCATTGAGCTTGACTTACAGGTGCAGTCCCCAAACTCCTCTTCAAAGGCTCCAGCTGCTTCTTCGATGCAGAGACTTGTCGCTTTGGCTGTGACAAGGTCAGTTATACACCGTATGGGAAGATTGCGGTATACGGTACGTAGATGAAGGTTCAGTCCTTTCTTGGTGGTATATACCATTCTGTCACTTTCAAATAGATCGCCGATCCAATACTTAAGATAGAAGACCTTGTATGATTAGCTAGCTGATCAATAAAACCAAACCCGTTGAACATACATCTTGGACGCTAGCAAAGAAATTGAGGTGATTTCTGTCCGCCTTTTTGACATCAACTAGGTACCTAGGCGGTAGAACAACATATTCCTGGCTCCAGTACGTAATTCGAAACGGCTTTTCCAAAGCTTTATTTATCTAGGTGCACGTTAGAAAGAAAATGCTGCTACCCTTTCACCTACGTACTGAATTATAACCTCTGTCGACGATTTCAGATATTGGATTTGAATACTGCAGCAATTGCCGCCAGGACCTTCGAACAACGGGAATTCCAGGTAAAACCCAACGACTGTAAGCGGTCTTCAGTAGCCATATGATGGTTAATAACAGCAGTAGTGCCAGGTAGCCAGTCTGGTATTGGGTCATGTTGCTATGCTTGCAATGTTTCACAAAGCTTGGCTCCTGTCTCATTGATATATAGCTGAACTGCAGAAGCCGTGCTGTGTGCCGCAGACACCGAGATTTCTACCGGCTGCCGATCACCGACAGTAAGATTTATTGCCGGGCTGAAATCAAAGCTAAGTCGACTTTAAGAGTTGGCTTTCCAATTTGGGATGAGGTGAGAACTATTTTTTAGACTATATATACTTTCTCGGAATATGAATTGGTTGTTGGCCTATTATTTCTAGCAGGAAAGCTTCTTGAATCTAGTTTCAAGCCCGAAGCGGGCCAGAACACCGTCATCGCCGTAGCCAATTGCTAGGCCAGACTCAAACTACACGTAGCTTGGCTTTGATTTAACTCGCTGCGCAACTCACACAGCAAAACCGTTAAGTACGCTCTTTTAAGCATGGTTTCGTCGCTGATATGAATCGCGAAATACTAGCCACTATGCAATTTATCTACCAACCGAGAAACTCATCGTCACATACATAGAAACTCAGCGATAATGCGCAGAGAAAGCCATTGGACTGGGGCTATGACGTCTCTGTCAAGCGGACAATGACCCCAGGAAGTGAAGCAAGTCTTTCAATATGCTACTTTCGTCATACACAAACATCTGGTATCCTCCACCAGCACATACCCACCGCTCTTACCCCTCATTTTTCGATAATACAACTTTAACATACAGCAAAGCCAGCAGCAGCTTCCACAATCTATCCTCGCCTGGGCATCGACCGCACATCTTCCGTACTATAAACGTGCTGGCTGCCCTTGGAGCGAGCTCTGCTCGTATCGCTGTAAGTGCGGCGCAGATTCTCGTTTGATGGACCTTCGGTAAGCTCGACACTGCCTTGTGAGCGGGTGGAGCCTGTAAGTCTGCTGAGGAGATGGCGTGCTGAGACGAGGACTGATGCTTTGGAGATACGGCGCCAGAGGGTGGGGATTGCGGGGAGGGAGGCTGTGATTAGGGCGATGGCTGGTTCGTAGATGCTGTTGAGGGTTAGCTTTTCTCGTATCCGAATTGCAGTTGTGGTCTTGTATTCGGGAGTTAAACTTACACAAGCACTAATGGTACGATGACCTGAGTCCAGACTGCGTTGGGGTCTAAGGTGGTGGTTACACGGTAGTACAAAGTTACGATACTACAGACCAGGGCACTGTTGTCACGTCAGCTAGGTTGGATACTGGTGTGGTTGTGAAGGACACTTACAGTACTCCCGTCATGAAGATCAATATGACACCGACTTTGTAGCGGAGAGACATTTGCAGGCTCCATATGTTGAAGACCGCGATGCCCATTAGGTAGATATCCAGTATCAAGTTGATGCATGCCGACGCCTTTGCCAAGCTAACCTGCGTTGATACTGAGCATGGAATATGCCTGTAGGGTCCACAGTGGATGCCGGTATATAGCACGTTGATTGAGTAGTAGAGGGTAACGACTGCCATTCCGAAGTAAACCGCATAGGCTGTCTTCGGTCGGACATTTCGAGGGAAGAGTGTCAGGTATAGAAACAAGATAGACAGCTTGGCGAATCCATTTGGTACGGCCCCGAGGAGTAGGTAGACAAATAGTCTCTATTTCATGTTGTTAGCCCTCTGTTCTCTAGTCGTATCCTCTTTGCTTTCGCAGGTACTAACGTTTGCTAATTTTGGGTCCGCTATTACCGCTGGTGAAGCGGATCCGCCGGTTAAGCCTGAGTCATAGAAAACTGTATTCACTGTTAATTGCGTGACTTCAGCGATCTCCAATCTACATACCTGACACAATGACTCCAGTAAGTGCAATAACGAAGCCCTACACCGAGTCAGAGTCAACATTGCGCGCCGCTTTCAGAGCTAACAGTGAGACCTACAGCGCCTATCAAGGACATCAAATCGTCCCATCCGGCATGCTTCAAGACGAATGTCTTCATATAAACCTTTGTCCCCACAATCAGAGTCATTATAATCGTAATAACCAAAACGGCTGCGACGGGATTTCCATGGAGGGGCGCTGGAGGTGGTGGCGCCATGGACGCTCCGCCGGCTGCGGGCGGTCCACTTTGTCGAGCCAGTATCGCCGCCACCTTGTATGCTTCTTCCATTGTGAGAGTGAAGGTTCAAGCCAAATGATTGTTGCTGAGAAATGAGACACTTTGAGCAGACAAAGTTATGGGCTGAGGCTGTAGTAATAACGGTCTACATGCCACGCGAGGAGTGGTAGCACAAGAGCAGGGTTGCATTCGGGGGGCTGGGATTGGCTTTGGGGGTAGGAGTCGGGAGCCGAGCTGCATACCTAGAGTGAGACAGTCAGACAGCAAGCATCCATCCTGTCATCCGCTATCCCCTTCATCTCGTGAAAAAAAGGCCTTTTTATGCTAGACTTCCCGTCCCGCATTTTGTACCGTAGCCACATCCACCATGACCAAATCCGCAATCGATACCCCCGCGACGAACCTGGCTCCGAAGAGTGAGGGCTCTGCCTCTAGCTCGGGGGGAAAAGAAACAGAGAAACAGGAGCAAGGCGTTTCGAAACAGATCGATGACAAACAAGATGTTCAAGATGTTACGCTTGAGAAGGGGGTCGACGCGGCTGGGGAAAGTTCAGAAGACGGAGGGAATTATCTTCCTATGGGGCCTCGACTATACATGATCACTTTGAGTCTCATGCTGGGTGTCTTCTGCGTTGCCTTAGACAACAACGTAAGCCCACACCATTCATTCTTGTGATTCCAGCTAATATCAATAAAAGATCATCGCAGTAGCCATCCCCCGCATCACCGACGAATTCCACGCCTTAAACGATGTCGGCTGGTACGGCTCCGCCTATCTTCTACCAGGCTGCGGTTTCCAGCTCTTATTCGGAAAATTCTATTCTCTATTCAGCGTCAAATGTGTCTACCTCTCCGGCCTGCTCCTCTTCGAGATCGGAACAGTAATATGCGGAGCGGCGCCCAATTCAATTGCGCTTATAGTTGGGCGCGCCATCGCGGGCGTTGGAAGCTCAGGCTTGTTCACTGGAGCAATGTTGACAATCGCGCACACGGTGCCGCTAGCTAAGCGTCCTGCGTTTATGGGTATAGTGGGGGGAGTTTATGGAATTGCTTCTGTGGTTGGTCCGCTGGTGAGTAGTACGGTGTTTGGGGAGATGTGAAGGCTTGTTGGACTGACATGACTAGATCGGAGGAGCTTTCACGGACCACGTTACTTGGAGATGGTGCTTTTTCATCAACCTACCCTTTGGTGGCATCACGACAGCTGGAGTCCTGTTCTTTTTAAATTTAAAAGAGAAACCTGTGGCTGCTCAAGAGCCATGGACGGTCATTTTGAGGAAGCTCGATCCCATCGGAAGCCTGCTGTTCGTCCCAGCGATCATCTGTCTTCTCCTCGCACTACAATGGGGAGGCGTGACTTACGAATGGTCGAATGGAAGAGTCATCGCCTTGCTGGTTGTTTTCGTCATAGCCCTGCTTGCGTTCATCGTTTTGCAGCTATTTATCGGCGACGATGCTACTGTACCAGCGAGGATTGCTTCGCAGCGCAGCATGGCTTTCGCCTCGCTGTTCAGCTTTTGTCTGGGTGCCTCTTTTTTTATTGTGACTTACTATATACCAATATGGGTAATTACCCTTCTACCAACCAGTTGAAGCAGACACGTACTGACAATTCTCTAGTTTCAAGCTATCAAAGGTAAAAAGCCCGTCGTCTCCGGCATCGACTTCCTCCCTTTCATCCTCCCAGAAATTGTAGGCGTCATACTTTCCGGCGGCCTAGTTTCAGCATTCGGCTACACGAACCCTTTCTTCATCGCCAGCAGCATCATGATGAGCATAGCAGCCGGTCTGTGCACGCTCTTCACCGTCGAGACATCACAAGCTGCTTGGGCTGGCTATCAATTCCTATGGGGCATCGGAATCGGGATCGGTTTTCAGCAAGGCACTGTGACTGCGTCGACAGTGCTGGCATATAATGATATTGCTGTTGGCACGGCTATGGTTCTGTTCGCGAATCTCTTTGGGGGGGCTGTGTTTGTGGCTGTGGCGCAGAACCTCTTTGCGAGTCATTTGATTGACAAGCTGCTGGCGCTCGATTTACCTGGGGTTGATCCGCAAGTTATTCTCCATGCTGGCGCCACGAACTTGCGGACTGTTGTTGGGCCTGAGAATTTAGCACGTGTGCTTGTGGAGTATAATGATGCGATTGTGCAGACGTTCCGGCTGGGGATGATTATGTCTTGCATTAGCATTATTGGAGCTATCGGGGTGGAATGGAAAAGTGTTAAGAAGTAAGCCTAGCGAGTTATAAGAGCAAAAATGAAGCAGGTGATGGTGGAGCTGTCTTAAAGTCAACTGAATATAAGCTAATAGACGAGGGTATATACTACATCGGATTTTAGGTGAAAAGGGGCAATTCCCCTGGCAGCGCCGGAAGGGGAAGGCAGTCGCTAAGGGCGGTAAGCGCTGAGCGCTACTAAAAGTGGTTCTACTAATCTCCTTTAACCTCTTTATTACTTCTAATAAGGGATCTAAGGGATCGCTGGAGGCTTAGAGCCGTCTCTACTTAGTATACGGACTACCGCGTATATATTTATACTAGTAAGAGAGATACTAGCGCATCTCTCTTCTTGCTTTCTTACCTAAATAGAATTTTAAGAATAGATCTTTTTTCTTTTAATTCTACTTATAATATTTTAATCTATATAAGCTATAAATATGCTATTTATTCTATAGCTATTCTAGGGCATTTATATAACTACTATAAAGCTACTATTCTACCTAGCAAGGTCTAAGAATACATTTATCTCTTTACTCTAGATTCTCTTTTACTTCTCTAGGAAGTAAAATAACTCTATATCTCTACTATTATACTACCTATCTTATATTTGCAGATCTATAATAATGCTTACTACTATAAGCTCTACCTTCTAGATTAGCTATATATAATCTATAGCAAGAAGATTCTACTTAGTTATTTAAAGGAAGCCTATTAATAGAATAGGAGTAAAGGCTTTATAGACCAGCTATCTAAGTTATACTTGCTACTTAGTACTACTATCTACTTCTCTATTATTTACTAGACCTTCTATATAAAAGGCTATATCTACCTCTTATGCGCAAGCGGTCTCCCGGTGGAAAGCACACGCACGGGCCCCGGCCTGGTCTGTCCCTCCCTAGCATGTCCCTAGATCCCGCTAGGAAACATTCTAGTAGAAAATATAATTTCATTATCCCTTCTCTATCTAGTCTTATACCCTCTTCTTATTATATTTTTCTGTGTTATTATTATTTATAATAGCTACTAAGCTTGCTTATAACCTTCTATACTAAGTTTTAGTCTATAAGTAGTGCTAGACGTATATTATCTCTAGCGCTGCTAGTATTAAGTAACACTTATAAGCTAAACTGCACCGCCTACTTAGCTAGGTGCTTAAGATCTACTTAGCCTATATCTAGACGCTAACCCTAAGAACAGTCTAAGAGCTACGCAAGCAGAAGCCTTAAAGCAAGGTCGCTAGGTTAGATTATCTTAAGGTGTTTAGCAGGGTCCAGTGCCTGCTATATAGCACCTTTCTGACTTGTTTAGCAGAGTCTAGTGCCTGCTATATAGCACCTTTCTAACTATCCACTTACCTTAAATGCAGTGTTATATATCTACTTATAATTAAAAGGCAAATGAATATAAAACAACTCTATTATAATAAGAGTGCTAGCTATAGATCTACTTTACTACTACCTCTTATGCGCGGGCGGTTTCCCGGTGAGAAGCACGCGCACGGGCCCCGGCCTGGTCTGCCTCCTCTGGCACGTCCCTAGATCCCGCTAGGAAACATTCTAGTAGGAAACACGATTTTATTATCCCTTCTCTATCTAGTCTTATACTCTCTTCTTATTATATTTTCCTGCGTTATTATTATTTATAATAGCTACCAAGCTTGCTTATAACCCCTTATACTAAGTTTTAGTCTGCAAGCAGTGCTAGATATGTGTTATCCCTAGCGCTACTAGTATTAAGCGACATCTATAAGCTAAACCGCACCGCCTACTTAGCTAGGTGCTTAAGACCTACTTAGCCTATATCTAGATGCTAACCCTATAAACAGTCTAAGAGCTATGCAAGTAGAAGCCTTAAAGTAAGGTTGCTAGGTTAGATTATCTTAAGGTGTTTAGTAGAGTCTAGTGCCTACTATATAGCACCTTTCTAACTACTCACTTACCTTAAATGCAGCGTTATATATCTACTTACAACTAAAAGACAGATGAGTTAGGGTTAAGAGGTTCATATTTGTTGCTAAACTACGCGTAACAACATGCTATAATATTAAAGGTCCTATAAGTTCTATATTTCAAAACCGAGACCGCTTTACAAGTCCCCTCTTATATATTACAAGAGTCCTATTAATACTTCCTATAGTTTATTATAATATTGCAATAATATCTAATCCTAGTTCAGTATAAATAAAGCCTAAAGTAGTCTAATAATTATCTATAGCAGTAATATAAATCCACTACTTATAAATATAAGTCCAAGAAAATCCATTCTATTTCCTATAGAGTCATTTAAATATATATGCCTAAAAGTTACTCTCTACTATTAGAGTAGAGTTATAGTAGAAGTAGAGTAATTAAAGTCATCTAAATATCCTATACTAAGATAGGATCTTCTAGATCTATAATCTCTATTAACCTAGTTCTCTATTATATCTAGAGCAAGGTGCCTTTTAGAGACTAGGTCCTTTTAATTTAGTTAATCTCTGCTAGTCCTACTAAGTAGAAGGTTTATCTTTTATATAGTAGTATATCTTCTATAAGATTTATATTAAGGACTTAAACAATCCAGAATACTAGATAAGCTCCCTTCCTATAATGCTTTTATAACATCTCAGGTTATAACTTTATAGTTATAGACTTTTTATAATATTCTAAGTTATAACTTTATAGTCATAGACTTTTTATAATATTCTAGGTTATAACTTTATAGTTGTGGACTTTTTATAATATTCTAGGTTATAACTTTACAGTTGTAGTGCTTTTATAACTTCTTAGGTTAATAGATGCTTTTTATAACCTCTTAGGTTAAAGTGCTTTTACGACATCCTAGGTTAATAGATACTTTTTACAACCTCCCAGGTCAAAAAAAGTGGGACGCGTCTAAAATTTAGACTAGTCCCACTTATATTAATATCTCCTCTTATCCCACTTCCAAGTCTACTCCTTTTCTGCCTGCTCTGCCTCTTTATCTTAGCTAAACCTGCTATGGACTAATTATTATACTACTAGTAGAATCTGGATTGCTATAGATACCTCTCTAATATTTAAGAGAAAGTTAATATTAGTAAATTTCCCTTAAATCCCTAGTTATATCTACATCTTCTATTTCCTATGCTACTGCTGCTACATTAACTTATCTGTATAGTTTAACGCTAGATAGTTTTTATAGCTGCATTTCTATTTTTATCTATAGATATAAGTAAACCCCTATATAAATACCTCTTAGCAGTATTAGAGTAGTATATACTAGAATATAACTAGTATAGCAAAATAGATATTAGCTAGTTAGCATCCTTTCACCTTCTAACTGCCTATTAGGATTAATATAGTAAGCTATACTATCTTAGCTTCTATCTGTAGAGTCTCCTTCTACATTACCTATAACTAAAGTTGTAAAGCTATACTTACTATTAGTTAAAGGTTAGATATAGCTTTAAATTATGCCTAGGCAGGTTCCTTACCTAGCTGGAATACAAATAACTATTGCTATAGGTCTCCCTAGCTTTTCTCTAGGAGCACCTTAATCAGGCTATTAGGACTTATCTAATCCAAGATCCACTAGTATCTAGTACTTAGTCTCTTAAACCGTTTCCTAAGTGATATTATGCTATATAGATTTATAGTAATCTTATAGCATATTAGTGCTATATCTATAATCCACTCTATTAAATCCGCTACCCCTTTCTTTAACCCCTTGCTAAATGCTTATTTATTACCTTTTTTTCCCTTATACTACTATGCTTAGACTAGTAGTGCGCTATACTTGAATATTAGAGCAAGGTTAGGGTTAGGGTTAGGGTTAGGGTTAG